AAAAAAAAAAAAAAAAAATAGTTCATTTTTTAGATAGTGTTTTTATGTAACTTGCCGGTCTTCTCTTTTTATCATACTTTCTAAATTTTTTTTTATAATTTTATAATGTTTGTATCATCTTACTATTTTTCTTTTAATTTTTTTCTTCCTTTTTTTCACTTTCAACTTCTTAATATGTTGAAAATCTTTTATTCTATATTTGTGTTTATCTATTAGTTGAAATCTTTATCAAGTCATTGAAAAAATTGATCATCTTATAAACTATGTAATTACGCTAAACAATTAATATTACCATTAATTAATTTATTTATTTCTTAAAAAATCTAAAGCTTGAACCATTAAAATTTAAAATACACACTGTTTAGACAAATCTATCATTATATAAAAAGAATAACCTTTTTTTGATTTTCCGCCAAAATTTACTGCCAAAATCATTTAATGAATAAATGTGGCGCTGATTTTGCTGATGGTTCCATTTATCCTATTTTATAGGTTAACAAAATAACAGATTGTGTTGATATTATATAAAAATCTATCATTACAAAATCATATTAAAAATAATTGATAGTTTATAAAATCTCATAGCATAAATCTACACAAGTTTATCTCTTATTTGTTACAAAATCTCATTGCATACGTCTCTCGAGTTTAAAAAATCTCATCACTTATCTATCAGATTTAAAAAAGAAAAAATAGAAACCAATTCATAATTACTATTAGAAATCAATTATCTTTAAAAAGAAAAAAATAAAATAAAATAGAAACCAATTCATAATTACTATTAGAAATTCATTATCTACTCAAAAAAGCTAATTTTCATCTTTATAATTACTAATATTTTTACAAATATTATAAGCTAACAATACATCCTCGATAACAACGTAAAAAGGATAATAATAATTTTAAAATTTTGTGTAATCAAATTTTTTTGGATAGAAGTAGCGCCATAAATTCGGTATCATCAGACATAATGTGTTTATTAAATTAGGTTTATAATATTTTAGATA